CAAAACAAACCAAAAATTTAACTAAACAAAGCAACAGGCCCAACAAAACGAACAACCCACAAAAGCACTACTAGATATAGCTAACTAAGTAACCACTATCCTTATACCCATCCTACTTCTGCTGCCTAACGCGGCAGACCGGACCAATTGGACCGGATGATTGTAACGTGTGGTCCCTCCTCAAGCCAGGTCCCCCCGCCTTCCTCCTGTGGAAACAAGAACCGAGCGACCAGGTTCATAATCAATCTACTTAACCCAGAACCACTCAAGCCAGGTCCCCACGCCTTCCTCATGTGGAAACCGACCGAATTTGGTGAAGATTTTGATGTGACCCGGAGGCCAAAGTTGTTCAGTTTATGTTTGTGCACCAGTTTAATAATTTTTTTCAGTTTTTTTTTTTTTTTTTTTTTTTTTTTTKTTGCTGGGAGCCTGGGACCTTCCTTGGTCCTTGCACCCTAGGATTTGTCCCATTTAGCAAACTTTACCAATCCCTGTCTGCTAACGTCTTCCCCGATTTCGCAAAGCACCTCATCCTCAGACTGCATCGAAAACATTATAACCCGGGTTGCGTACAAGTGTATGCATCATAGCCTTGGAAGTTGTAATATACAGTAAGACATAGTACTAGCGTCTCACCAGGATTACTATCAAAGGGTATTAGTAAGTCCTATGAACGTCAATGACGTCCCGAAGGGGTAATTTCTTGGCGGACAACTCCCGGCCTTCAGTCATGCAATCACTCAGGTCGTCGATCTTACAGCACGGAGGTTTGCCCCCCACATTTGTCGATTTTGCAAAGCTTCCATCAATCTCCTCCTTCAATGGGGACAGATGATCCTCCTTCCTAGCGACAGGGATGTTTTTCGCATTCGATAACATGGGGTGCAGATTCTCGACACCACCGGTACTCCAATGCACACACACGTGGCCATTCTCTCTGGGATCGGACAAACCTGAGCACGTGGCCATTCTCTCTGGGATCGGACAAACCTGAGGAATCACGGGCAAGCACATTTCAGGAGGCATAAGTCCTCTGGTTGTGCAGAATGTCCCCGACAGTCTGGTTTGTGGTCCCCACTGTTCAGACTTTCAAACGTGTACATCTAGCAAACCAGATCTGAATCTCCCAACTCGTCAGATTATCATTGATGACCTTCGTAATTTTGGATACAACCCCGACTAGAAACGTTTGTACTCTTTTTTTTTTTCCGCGGCCTATAGCTGGGCCAAGTACTGGTGGTTTAAGACTAAAGTCCTTGATCACATTATACAACTTCAAACGTAGCTGGCCCTTGCCCAAACTGGCCGCGGAAAAAAATAAGAGTAGAAACGTAGCTGGGGCAAATGAGCGACAGTATCCAACTTCCCCGGGTTATGTAAGCACACAAAATCAAATGTAGCTGGGCCTTGCCCAAATTCCGGTGTCACCCTCAGGTAACAGTTGACTTATTGCTGAAGTACTCAGGCAAAAGTAGACTCCTTTTTTTTTTTTTTTTTTTTTTTTTTTTTCAGGGACCTTGCCTGACCCTTGCCTGGCCGAGCTGCCTGAGCAATTAAGGTGGGGCAGGTGGCCCTGTGGGTAGCTCAGGTTCATACTGTATTTAGTCCCAGATGCGGTCCAGGATGACTGTGCGTTATATTTGTGGGTAGTATGGGGTCGAAGAGGTGGGGGGGGGGGCAGGTGAAGGGAGGGGGGTAGAGAAAGTGTGGTGTGGGCCCCACTAGGCGGCTGAAGATTTGCCATTCACATTCACCGCAATAGTCATGGGTTGGCCCCCTTCCTTTCTTTCTTTGTTTTGTGAAAGAAATGGCAAAGAAAAGGGAGTGCAAGTCAAAGATCATCAGCTCGGTTCTTTTTCTTTAGCCCGTCTCGTCTTTCAGATTATTTGGAAATCTTGAAGCATCAGCAGTATCTTAATTCTCTATCCAACGGTTTAGGTCCGACCCCTGCTGATGATGGTGAAAACCCGGTGAGACTTGGCTGTCCGTCTTTAGATCATTGTTCAGGATATTAGCAGTTTAGTTCACGTTTAGGTTCCACTTTTCCTCCGCACTCACGCTCCATCTCACTCATTGGAGGTAACCGTTTCTCTCTCCCTCCCCTCGGTGTTTGCGTGTATGTATAGTGGTTTTGTCTTTCCTGTATGGTCACGCTCCATGCCACACAACGAAGGTTGTCTCTCTCTCTTTATCTCTCTGTGTTCCTGTGTGTGTGGCACTTGCTGCACCACTTACACAATGTGACAAAGGCAAAGACTGTGGTGGATGAATCTTGCCACGTTGTCGTGGAAGGTACATTACCCGTTTTACACATTTGGTGAGTAGTGCGGCCAGGCTGTGTGTGTGTCTGTGCCTGCGTTATATCATGTATTCCACCATTAAAGGCATTTGTGGCAGAGTATCTTGGTAGACTCTCAGGGTGTGGCAGCACCAGTCACCAAATGTTCAAAATGATAATGAATCTTCTGCTAGAACATGGAAAGATACACTGCCATCATTTTTGTCTTTTGTGCATTCCGTTAGTAGTGCGGGGAGGCCCTCACTGAGGAGACTGAACCCTGGCAGTCTGTAGGATTCATTTTGTTGTTGACAAACCGTTTTAAACCGCCAGTCCATCCCAAGTTAAATTGATGAACCAAAAAATCCATTTTGCTGAGCCTAAAATCTACAGTGCAGACCTTTTGAAAAATGACCGTTAGCAAAATAATAGTAATAATAATAATAATAATAATAAAAATGAAGGTATTAACCCATTTCCAAAGAAGCTTTATGGGCCATCGTCACTGTAGATTTTGGCCCCAGTAAAATCCACAGTGCAGGGGCCGTCGGTCTGGTGGTTTGAACCCCACCAGTTACCTTTCCTCGCGTGAAAAACAAAAATACACGTCGGTTAACACGGAAGGCTTTCGGGGGTCGGGGAAGGCCCGGTATGGCAATGGAGGTGTCCGGAGGAGGACACCGGTGGGGCCAAGGAAAACGGGCTAATGGAGTCTAAGTATTCCTGCTGGGTCATTCCGTGCATGTGTTTCCACGTGCATGTGCGCACTATACCTCGGACAAGCAAAAAAAAGTTTAAAAATCACAATTGCGAGGTGGGGGCTCTTCTCTTGGTTGAAGCACATGCACGGGTGCGGTATACCTCAGACAAGCCAAAAAAAAAAAAAAGAATCACAATTGCACAGTGGAGGCTCTTCTCTTGCTTGAACTCGTGCTTGCCGGTGGATAAGCAACCGGACTGACGCCCCCCAGAATAGAAGGGGCTTTTCTTTTTCCAAAAAAGAAAAGAAAAAAAAAGTGTTGGGTGGGCGAAAGAAACGATTGGGGACATAGGAGCCCGGACTGATGCCCCCCAGAATAGAAGGGGCTTTTCGTTTTCAAAAAAAGAAAAGAAAAAAAAGTGCTGGGCGGGCGAATGAAACGATTGGGGACATAAGAGTCGGCCTCTCATGGAATTGTAGAAAGCTCTGACGTGCTAGATTCATCCAGGTATGGCCGTAGTTGCATCTTAGATCTGTACGAATCTGACCACAATCACGTCCAGAGCTTTCTAATGAATATTTTTCCTTTCTTTTTTTTTTCAAGCTTTTGCGTCGCTTCACTACTCACAAAAGGAGATTGAATCTTGCCCTGGAATATGGAAAGATGCACAGCCGTTGGTTTTGTCGTCTGCTCGTGGCTGAGGGCCTACTCACACTACAGCCCTCACTCCGCTACTCAGCAAATGTGCAAGATGAGAATGAATCTTCATCTGGAACATGGAAAGATACACAGCCGTTGGTTTTGCCTTTCGTGCACACGGTGAGTAGTGGAGTGAGGCCCCGGGACATCTCACAAAGCTCTGGACGTGATTTCAGTCAGATTTGTCCAGCTTTGGCCACAATTGCAGTCAGATGCAAGGATGGCCTGACCTGGACGAATCTGACTGCATTCACGTCCAGAGCTTGGGTGCAGGAGTGCTATAGTGTCTCTTCCTCCTGCCTGCCGTGAGAGGCGGGTTCCTTCGTTTTTTTTCTTTTTTTTTATTATATCAAAACGCCCCTTTCCAAGATGACTCCCCCTGAGTGATGGGGAACAATCAAGGCCTCGGCCCTTTCAGGGCCGCAGCTCTTGTTACATCGTATCTGACTGCACTTATAGCCAGGCCTGGAGCAGTACACGAGTGAAAACAAGGAAACGACTGCCGCATTTCATTCCAGCTCCTGGCAGCAGGTCTACCATAAGGGGCGGTACCGTTGCCAGCCAACAAATTTCTTCTACCGGTTCCCGCGTCCAAGCTCGGCAAAAATTTGGAGCGCAGGGCATTTTTAGGCTCGGCATTAATAGATGAGAAAGGTACTGGTGGTTTAAAATGCCCAGAGTTAACAATCCCCTTGAGAGATGTGGCCGACTTCAGTTGCACAGACCTTGGCACCCTACCAGGTCGTCTGTTTTTTTCTTTTTCACTCTTGTGTGTGTGTGTGTGTGTGTGTGTGTGTGTGTGTGTGTGTGTGTGTGTGCGTGCAGTGCTAAGTTCTAACAGACCATCTAGTTCTTCTTTCCTTTTGGTAACTAGTCGGATTGGATCGACATTCAATCAAATCTGGGTATGCATATTGTAAAGGAGTCAATCCAGCCACAAGTTCCTCTGTGCTACCTTGTTACGACCTTGCTACGACTTCATCTGAGTCACTGATTCTGCTGCGACACTCTGTATGATCAATAATGTGAAAAAGATGGTGCACTTTTTCTTCTCTTTTTTTTTTTTTTTTTTGTGTGTGTGTGTGTGTGTGTGCGTGTGTGTGTGTGTGTGTGTGCTGTCTCTTATACACATCTAGATGTGTATAAGAGACA